TGTGCTGGGAAAAAGTGATACAGAAATGAAAGTCTATACTTTATAAAAATATACATTCCATTTTAGCCCCTCTGATCTGAATGCTGGCCTCATTCTAAAAAGCTTTTTCCATACATGACCTGGAAACAAGAAATAGGAGCAGGTCATATGGCAGAGCTGGCTCAAATTACCAAAGGAACTTCAGATCTGAATCGACTACTCTTCCAGCGAGCAATACCCCTTTGGTGCTTTCTGTCTAATTTTTAGAACATTAATATCACTCAGCACTATCACGGGTCTAGGCCCGAAACGTCAGCCTTTCTGCTCCTATGACGCTGCTTGGCCTGCTGTGTTCATCCAGCTCTGCACCTTGTTGTCTCGCACTATCACCCCTTTGTTTTATTAAATATCACTTTAGTGTACCTGAAGATCACCATCTCTATCCCTATTGATTGCATTCTTTTTATATTCCTTGTTGGGATGGGGTAATTAAGGAATTGTTGTCCATCCTTACTTGCCCTAGAGGAGGTGGATGGAGATCCACCTTCTTGAATCACACAGTCCAAATGGTATCTGTAGCAGTTTGGTACAACTGCTTAACTTGCCAGGCCATTTCAGTCAGCAGGTACAAGTTAACCACCTTGCTGTGGGTCTCAAATCACAGGAAGGTTAGACTGGGCAAGGATGGCAGATTTCCTTCCGTCAAAGAGGTTAGTAAACCAGAGGGATTTTTTAGGGCAATTGATAACAGCTTCATGGCACCGTTACTGAGACAAGCTTCCAATTCCAGATTTTGGCATTAGGACAATCTCTGGATTACTAGTCCAGTGATATTATCAATATACCACTGTCTCTGTTGTCATTGTAATATGTAGTGAGAATTGTATTAATTCCTTTCTATAACTCTTAATTCAATCCATTCTTTCTCAATGCAGCCTCCCTCCCTTTAAATTGCAGTGCACACTGCACAAAAGCTTAAAATGTTACAGATTTTCTGATCATTAAATATATGCGAATTTCCATTATTTCAACTATTGAATCCGTGCATAACACAAGAGGCTGGAGCAAAACATTTATGCAGAAGTTATGTAGAAGTACATTTATGTACAGAAAGTTAGCAGCACAGAATGAAGCCATTGGCCTATCATTGTCTGCCCCAGCTGGGAAAGAGTGATCCAGCTTAATTTGCATTTACCAAATCTTAGCCCAAAACCCTGAAAGTTAAAGCACTTCAAATTCTTTTGCAATCAAATTTTAAACCTGTTAACCACTTTTCAAATTCATCCAGAAATCCAGGTCTCTACAACCATGTGTGTGAAAGAAATCTCAACCTCCCTAATATTACCAATTCATTCAAATCTATCCCTCTGGTTATTGATCTCTCTGTAAAGGGAAGTATTTCCTGCTTATATTTCTATCACAGCCTCTAAACACTTCGTAAACTTCAATTAAATCCCACTGGCCTCTTCTGTTCCAAAGGAAACAACCCTAATTTTTTTCCCCTCCAAAGCTGAAATAAATCTTCATAAATCTACTCTGCACTCCCTCAAATGTGATCACATCCTTCCTGTAACTCATTGTCAAAACCTGTAGCTATGGCCTAACAATGTCTCATATCATGCTAACATTAACTCTTATATCCAATAATTGAAAATTACAGTCATGTGTGTGACAGCAGTTGAAAACACAGCTATTTGACTTAGTTGGTGCGTGGTGTCTGAATAAGTTCTGTGATAGCGCATTCCGAATGTGTGACTTCCTCTGAGTCTTTGACCTCCTCTGCACCACGTCTTTTGGAAGTCTTCATGTGTCTATGGGAGATTAGAGAAATGAATTTAGTATTAACAAGGTTGGAAGATCTTGAATGAATGTTGTGATTCCAAGTAACTCCACACTTCTATTGTTACCCCTCTTGGGGGTTTCCAGCCACACCCTCCTCGTCTCTTTGACTGGTATTTTCTCCTTTGGACGGGGAAGAGTATATTCCTTCATGTAATATATTTTCGGGTTTAGAGTGTAATCTATGAATGGAACAGGTTTGAATTGCCTTTTAAATAGTTCAAAATGAAATGGTGTTATCATGCCAGCTGATGTAATTTTTTTTTTAATCTGTTCATTGAATGTGTGTGTGTCTGGCTAGGCCAGCACTTGTACTTTTTATAAAATTATGACTGGAGCAGAGCCACAATTATTATAAACGCAGACAATAGATGCTGGGATCTGAGGCAGTTATTTTAAATTCAGTCACAGGATATGGACATCACTGGCCAGGCCCGTATTTATTGCTGATCCCTAATTGCTCAGATGGCAGTTAAGAGTCAACTACATTGCAGTGGATCTGAGTTCACAATTAGGCCAGACCAGGTGAGGATGTCCAGTTCCCTTCCCCAAAAGTATTACTGAGCCAGTTGGGTTTATAGTGACAACCAACACCATGGTTACACACTGTTTCAACTTCCAGATTCCTGTTGGATTCAAATTTTGACCAATGAACTTAGGGGGACTTGAACCCATACCCCTAGAATGTTAACCTGTAACTCTGCATTATTAGTCAAGCAACATTACCAATATGTCACCTGGATATCAGATACAAACACATGGTTGGGCTAAACTGCCATTGACAAAGGAACTCGGACACTTCCAAGTTCCCCACATGTTACCATTCTCCCAAAGCCAGCATTCAAAAAGTTCAAATTCCACCTTCTCAGTTTGTTCAAGATCGTGTGACGTTTTTATAAAATTTGTAATATCATATAAAATCGTATCAAAAGCATAGGGGAATCAATTATATTGCTCATTGAGGAAAGTGAAAATGTTTTGAAATATTGTGGAGACAGCAAATAGCAAGAAGTAGAACTTCAGTGCGAGATATATTCTGTTCTGATTTACACACCTAGAAATGGAGAGTGTCATATTTGCTTCCTATGCAATGATCTGATTTTTAACTTTATTTTCAAATTGCAATATTGATCACAATATTATTGGGCTTGCACTCCCTTTTGGACCCAGAGTTGTGTTCCGATTTGCTCACTAATACTCCCTCTACCAGTTTGCTAGGAAAGCACTATATTTTTAAGGGACAGATAGAATTGTGGAAGCTGAAAATCAGCAAGTTCTGATGAAGGGTCACTGGACCTAAGACATTGACTCTGTGCCAGACCTGTTGGGTTTCTCCAGCAATTTCGGTTTTTGTCCTGGCACCCTTGGCTATCTTCTGTCTAGGTGGATGATCTCCAACTATCTCCAGAGGGCGGGAATGTTTGAGAGGTTAAGGTAGAATTCAGCCTGGGTTAGGGGTTCAAACCAATTGATTTCCTCATGATGGTAGTGCCCCCAGCCTTGCTGGGCATGCCAACCTGCCAAGCTATGCTGTTTTGGAGACTTTGACACCCTACGACAGGTTTTTCAATGCTCATGAGAAGTATAACCTGCATGTAAAGCAATTTGGAATCTACAGTTGTATTAAAAATCAATTTTCAGCCAGATAGTACTCAATCCACTAGAATTCCAAAAGGAATATTACAGCAAATGAAAGACTATGATAAAGATCAAGCAATCTTTACAGAGAATGGAGAGCTGGCTTTGTGCAGAGTGCTTAAATAACTGGGGCATTTTTCTCAATATTTTCAATCTAAAATGCCTATATCATAAAATAAACCTCAAGTCTGTACATTGCTCAATATTGCAAGGAAAGCATAAAAGTAGAAAGCACAAACATTGAATTTCAATGTGCAGAAACAGTGTAATTTGCATGTACATTTATTGACACAGCAATGTGATATGTCACACACGCCCCACATCTCATACTCAAGAAATCCTTCCTTTGACCCCTTTAGTCTTCCTTTCTTCCTCTTCTTTAAGTGTATTCTGAAAACCCATTTGTTTTCTTGTTCTGCATCTGTGAAATACTCAGGATGTGTTAATGTATTAAAGGCACTTATATATGTAAGTGAAATCTTTGGCAGAAGACAGGCTCAAATTTAAAGTTTATTACATTGTACTTAATAGCCATTTACACTACATCTGAGATATGTAATCGTTCATTGTGAGACTATAAGACTTAACTCATAGTAAGTACCCATTAATGTGGCTGAAACATTTTTCACACCAACTTGGTAACAATCACGCAACACTGGTACCCAGTTGGTTAGCTTCGCCAGTAATCAGTTCTTGATATCTGGAGGGGTGGACCTTATCTCACAATATTAGTTAACCATTTCAGGCACTAATTGTCTTACACAACAGAACTCATTACATGAAGACTGCAAAATAGGTTCAGCTGGTGGCAGGTTGGCACCCATTATGCATCCTTCACAATTTCCCTATCCACTAATGTCAAAAGAAAAAGCAATAAATGTTTATAATGGGCACCACTTCTTCTGACCTTTATTTTGTGACATTATGGAAGTTAATTTTCTCCCTATAAATTTTTAATAACCAGCAGTTAAGTTTAGTTGCAGCTTCTTCTGTGTATGTCTGACATAACGTCTCATAACCTCTCAGGACAACACAATTTTCCCTTTGTAACTTAAGAATCCTGTACAATTTAATTTAATGTAATACATTTGACCGATATCTCCTGAAGAATTGACAAAATTACATTGTAGTTCCAAATGCAAATTCAGTGCCTGATTAAGCAACATTTAGGTATAAAAGTTATTATCATAATATAGGACTTGATTCCAACGAAAGGCGTGTCAAACAGCAACGAGTGGAAGTCTTGTGGTGACCATGTCTATAGTTGCTTTGTTGCTTCCCAGGGATGACCCTTTACAAACATTGGAGAGTGTCCAATAAAAATCTATATTCTCTAAAGATACAGGTGGAAATTTCCTCTGAACAGACGAGACTCTAACAAGCTCTAACTCTAACAGGCTGCATCGGCAGGTGCACTGGTCACAGAACATGCCCAGTTCCTGCTGAAATTACCATTATGCCATGGCCTTCACTGGTATGCAGATTGAGCAAAATGTTCTTTGCAAATGGAACAGGCTGGCAAACTGCTCCTTGGAATAGTCTGGTCACTCTTTAATTGGCGTTGGTTTATTCCCAAATTTGCGCCAGAAGCTCGATTGCCTGCGTTTGGGTTGTGCCAAAAAGGACATCTGTTCCTGGGTGACTGTTGAAACATTCAGTGCTGGAAAGTCATAGTAGCTTTCTTCTGCAATAGGGGAAAAAGGAGAAATGTTAGGAATGTCATGGAGAACAGTTACAAAGGATTGCTAACAACAGTGGTTATGGCATGATGTTGTACCTGGCTGTGGACAATAGATCCCTCTTGTTATTGACATAAGTAAAATGTCTTCTCTCGTCTGTTGTTTTAGTGACCATTGTATTTCAAGACATTTAACAAAACTTGCCTATGCAAGTGGAGGATTTAATGATAAGATTTCAATCTCTTCTCTCAATTAAGCCTGCACAAAGACAAGAGTCAGACTCATCTCTTGTATGGACTATGTCCCATCCCAAAATTTTTGCAAATGTTACTCCTTCTACATGATACCGGAAGCTCTCAAATTTTTACAGTAATTTATTTTCCAGTTTTGCAATCTAGCCACAGTAACTCTTTAAGCTCATTGACTATCTGTATTTTAACCATACAGATACATAATATACTGCACAAAATTAAGGCTTAAGTAAAATTAATATGATTTCAAATTACAATATGATCCCAACTGAAAGCATTGAGGGATTTTTTTTTCCAATCTAAAAGAAGGCTACTTTAATTTAACGGTACATCAGTTATGTAAGGGTATGTGTTTTGCTCAAAGGGAGATTCTCAGTTCATCGTCTGTTCTTGCTTCATTCGGAGCCACTCCCTTGTCGGTTCCTTAACAGTGGTAACGTGCCCTTGCCATCCATGCAAGGAGTGAGGAGGCGGGTCCCAAGTCTGCCTCAGCGGAATGGGAATTGAACCTGTACAGATGGTATTATTCTGAACCACCCAAATTAGTTGAGCTAACCAGCTCTTGCACCAGCACAAATCCCAAGACCATCGTTGCAAGCTTGATTTCTCTGTTTGCAATTAAGCTGACCTATTGGTGGGATACCAACAATGTGGCAAACTAGTTATCAAAGGGTTGAGGTGTTAGATCAAATCTGATTGTGTGCACTGGATTCAGAATTTTGTGTTTATTCTATAAGGCTCTGTAATGTACCCATCCAAACGCAAGTAAGAGGAAATAGCGATTCTGGTGATTTGAGGGCATAGCTACCTAATGGCTAGGAAAATTTACAAAATCATAATCTTGATGCAGTTTTTCAATTACAAATAGCTTTATCTTATAAAATGAAAAATAAGCACCTTTTTCTAATATTGTTACTTTATAGGTTCCAAAGTAAATTCAAAACAAACATGGCTAATGTTGTTTCTGTGATTTGCAAATTTCAAGCATGGTACAAAAGATAGTGGAATTTTAAGAGCAAATGACACTCGGAGAAACTCAAATTTACATATTATTTGTAATTGTTTTAAAAACATTGCACTGGCCAAATTCCCAGGGTGTATTATTTGTTATCAATAGCAGTTTTCACCATTTGTACTCATTTGTAAGCTTTAGGGGAAGCCTCAGAAAAGCTGCAAATGTTGGGTTCGCATACGTAACAGGTAAATTGGAAGGTTTCTAATGCTTGTTTTTTAATGAGGCTAATTGCAGAGCAGATGATCCATATCAATCTCTTCTGGAGTCCCCAACATCACAGATCATCAACTCAATTCACTCCACATGATAACAAAAAACGATGGAGGCAATTAATACAACAGAGGCTATGGGTCCTGCCAATATTCTGGAGTGAAGATTTGGGCTCCAGAACTAGGCATGGCCCTAGCCAAGCTGTTCCAGTACAGCTACAAAACTGGTATTTACCTGACAATGTAGAAAATTGTCCTGGTATGTCCTGTACTCAAAATCCAACCTGGCCAATTTCTGCCCTGTCAGTACACTCTCAATCATCAGTAAAGTGATGGGAGGTGTCATCAACAGTGCTACAGACAGCACTTGCTTAACATTAACTTGCTTGCTGACATTCGGCTTGGATTCGGCAAGGCCAACTCAACTCCTAGTCTCATTATTGACTTGGTTCAAACACAAACAAAACAGCTGAATTTCAGAGGCGATGAGAGAGTTACAGTCCTTAACATCGAGTTTTTATTTGACTGTATGTGGCATCAAGGAGCTCCAGCAAAACTAGAATGAATGGGAATTTGGAGTAAACTCTACCGGTTGGAGTCATACCAGGTGTGAAGGTTGTGGTTATTGGAGGTCAGTCATCTCAGCTCAAAGACATCTCTGCTGGAGTTCATCAGGGGAGCATTCAGCTGCTTCATCAATGACCTTCCCATCATCGTAAGGTCAGAAATGGGGATGTTTTCCAATGAATGCACAATGTTCATCCACAACCTCTCAGATACTGAAGTAGTTCATGTTCATATACAGCAAGACCTGGAAAATATCTAGGCTTAGGCTTTGAGTGACAAGTAACATTCATGTTACACAAGTGCCAGATGATTTTTTTTTTCAAAATTAGGACAGGATTAGACCATTCAACCCCTTGAGCCTGCTCCACCATTCAATAGGATCATAGCAAATCCATCATTCCTCATGTCCACTTTCCTGCGCTGTACCTGTAACTTTTGATTCCCTTACTGATTAAGAAACTATCTATCTCGGTTTTAATGATCATCTCCAACAAGAGAGAATCTAATCATTGTCCCTTGAAATTCAATGGCATCGCCGCCACTATCAACATCCTATGGATTGCCATTGACCCAAGGCTGATCTGGACTAGCCTTACAATCACAGTGGCTATAAGAGCATGTCGAAGGCTAGAAATCCTGCTGCAAGTAACTCACCTGCTGACTTCCCCCAAAGCATGTCCATCATCCACAAGGCACGAGTCAGGAGTGTGATGGAAATACTGCCAGCTCAAACAACACTCAAGATTTGACACCAACCAGCTCAAAGAGCCTGCTTCATTGGCACAACATCCACAAGTTTCTTCTTTCTCTACCACTGAAGTTCAGTAGCAGAAGTGTGTACCATTGACAAGATGCATGGCAGAAATTCACCAAAGCTTCTTAGACAGCAATTTCCAAACCCTCAACTACAACTATCTAGAAGGAATAGACAGCAAGTACATGCAAACACCACCTCCTACAAGTTCCTCTCCAAGCCAGTCACCCTTCCTTGTCTTGTAAATTAATTGCTGTTCCTTCAGCGTCACTTAATCAAAACCCTGGAATCCTTACCTCACCACCACCCTCTCACAACCCATGAAAGAATAATTTTTTTTTTAAATTATGGAATACTTAAATCTGACCAGGAATAGTTTTATATTTGTTGAAGAAACTCAGCAGGTCTGGTTGAATCTGTGGTGGGAGATGTCCAGGCCAGCATTTTTCATGTGTTTCAGCTGCAGAAGGAATTTCATATTCGCATGTTTGCTACTACTGCTACAACAGGCTATGTTCAGTCCAGATGTGACATACATCCCAAGCGCATATCGTTCAAAATATGAAGGTACTACATAAAGAGTATTTGTATTTTACAGACATTAGTGAGATGGATGTTTTTTCTTTCCCGTCCTTGTCAGGAGTCGGGAGAGGACAGTGAAAGGCAGCACAAATGTACTGAAATTCCAGATTAACGTCCTTGGGATTTGCAAATTTGGAAAGCGTCTTGAGAGAGCTGACGAAATGGAGGGGAAAGGAAGACGAAGAGATCAGAACATGGAGAAAGTAGTGGTTCAGCAGGATCATTGTACAAACAGAGTACGGAGACAGTAGGAATCTGGAGTGATCAAGAGCACAAGTACAGTAGTAGAGGAAAATGGAAATCTGGGAGGACAAAGCATGCCTCCATCAGATATCTAGTTCCCTCCTCTTGACCCTGGTGTGTTAGGTGGTTGATCATCGGTTATGCCATCTCTCTATCACAGACACTCAATAATGCAGAGTTCTCTGCAGACCACAGTTTGGGATCCAATACAGTAGGAGATAATAAGCTTTTCAATCGAGAGAGCTGCCTTGAAATGTCAAATTCTAAATAAGAATTCTTTGACACTGCAACATCGGGTAAGTGATAAAACTTCAGTGTGGTTGAAGATGACATTGACTGACTGTGCTTGTGATAAATTTTATTTCCTTTAGTGGTGTAGGATGTGGTGGTCAAGGTTCATCTGCACCTGGTATTGGGCCATATCAGTCCAGAAGACACAGGATCAGAATTTAGCCACTCAGCTCATCAAGCCTGTTCCATCATTTGATCATGACTGATAAGCTGCTTAATCCCATTCTCCTGCCTTGTCCCCATAACACTTGATCTCCTCATCAATCAATCAATCAATCAACCTATCTATCTCTGTCTTAAATGCATCTTAAGTCAGTTTTCAACTTTGTTACACACAGAAAGGAATGCAACCATCTGTGAATGAATGATTTTAATGATAAGAACATTTTCAATTATTTATTGGTCATTCAAGATGCTTTGGATGAGAGGGACATTACTCTGCCACATTCCAGTACAGTGCAGCTAATGAACACTGCACTGGTTACAGTAAAAGAAATGCATTAGCTAATGTTATTGCTCTATTATTTCCATGCAAAGCTATGACCTGATGGGGAAATAGGAATGCACTGGAGTTCTGATTGCCAACTAATGAATGAAACTTGGTCCCATGATTCTTTTCCTTACATTAGTACTTAACATTCACCCAATTATGGATGAGGGAGGTCTCAAAGCCTAACATTACTTTTGGATCGTAATTCCAGTGCAATGACTATCCCAAAGCTTGAACACAGGGCCACAGGACAATATCCCCTGTGCTAATGTGAATTATAGCATATGAGTTCCTTACAATGCTCTAATGAGGAGATTAAGGGAAAGGTTTCAAATGAGAAGCACTCATCATCTTCCCTCCACCGTTCTTTCCACATCTTTAATTCCACATGTACCATCATACCTGCTTCTAGCTCGCCTTCAGATATTTTTCTTTCCTCCTCAAAGGCATGAAGCCATAATTGCTTGTCTGCGAGATTCTTTGTAAAAAGAAGTTTGCTAGGTTTATCCTCAAACTTGCTTTTAAGTTTGATAGCATTCCTGACCCGGCAATCGAATTCTTCATCCCTTCCATCTTCCACATCCTTCACTATGCTTTGGTCAATGTCGATCCTTGCTTTGAAGTACAATGCATTACGACGTAGCAGGTCCTGTGAACAGTGCCACAACACAACTCATTAAAACACATTTTCTCAACTTCAATCCATTTTGCTGTCACATTTTCATCCAAACTTGATATTGTCCCAAGCAGTAATTTAGCCATGCATTGCATTCAAAACTGCACTACTTTTCTCAATTTACATTTGGTTAATGTTTCCAGTTAGTTATTTTCACATCACTGAATGTAAGATCTTCCATCAACCAGTTCGGTGATGACAGATAAGTGGGAGGCTTTCAGAAGTGTGATGATAAGAGTTCAGAGGCATATTATGTTCTTATTAGAGTGAAAGGCAAGGCTGGTAAGATAGGGAAGAATGGATCAGTAAAGACATTGAGGATCTAGTCAAGAATAAAAATCATATATTAGACATAGACAACTGGAATTAAATGAATCTCTTGAAAAATATATAGAGTGTAGGGGCATTCTTAAGAGGGAAATCTTGAAGGCAAAGAGGGGATATGAGATAGTCTTGGCAGATAAGGTTAAAGATAATCCAAAGAGATTCTACAAGGACATTAAGAGCAAAAAAGTAAGTACAGAATGAGTTGGGCCCTTAAGGATGAACGTGATGATTTGTGTTGAACCTCAGGAGATGGAAGAGATATTAAATGAATATTTTGCTTCAGTTTTTACTATGGAGAAAGAAATGGAGGCTAGAGAACTCAGGGAAATAAATACTTTTTTAAAACAGTTTACATTACAGAAGAGGAGGTGCTGGAGGTCTTAGAAAACATTAAAATGGATAAATCTCCGGGACCTGATCAAGTATATCCCAGGACATTGTAGGAAGTTAGGGAGGAAATTGCGGGACCTGCAGCAGAAATATTTGTAACATCCATAATCACGGTTGAGGTGCCTAATGACTGGAGGGGGAGCCTTAATGTTGACCCTTTACTTAAGAAAGACAGTAAGGAGAAGCCGGACAACTAATAGACCTGTGAGTCTGACATCAATGGTGGGTAAGTTGTTGCAGGTGATTCTGAAAGATAGGATTTATGTGCATTTGGAGAGGCAAGGAATGATTAGGGATAGTCAGCATGGCTTTGTGCAAGAGAAACCGTGTCTCTCAAATTTGATTTTTTTTTTAACGGTATAACCAAAAAGATTGAGGACCGAGCAATAGATATTGTTTACTTGGACTTCAGTGAAGCCTTTGGTAAGGTTCTGCATGGTAGATTAATTAGTAAAGTTAGATCATATGGAATCCAGGGTGAGTTTGCCAATTGGATATAAAATTGGCCTTATGGTAGGGTAGTGGTGGAGGATTTTTTTTTTGGACTGGAGACCTGTGACCAGTGGTATTCAACAGGGATCGGAGCTGCGTTCACTTTTTTTTTAATCATTTATATAAATGATTTAGATGAGAATATAGGAGGAATAGTTAGTAAGTTTACGGATTACACCAAAATTGGTGGTAGAGTGGATAGTGAAGAAGGTTATCTAAGATTGCAAAAAGATCTTGATCAACTGGGTCAATGGGCTGAGGAGTGGCAGATGGAGTTTAATTTGAACAAATATTAGGTATTGCATTTTGGTATAGCAAACGAGCAGGACTTATGCAATTAAGGGTGGAACCCTGTGTAGTGTTGCAGAGCAGAGAGACCTCGGGGTTCAGGTAAGTAATTCTTTGAAATTTGCATCACAGGGTAGTTAAGAAGGCGTTTAGCATGCTTGCCTTCATTGCTCAAACCTTGGAGTATAGGAGTTAGAATGTCATGTTGAGGTTGTACAGGACAAACATTTGTATTATAGCCACATGTCTATGATAACTACTCCCTTAATAGCCTCCTGGAGCCGTCAATAAAACTATGAACTGACAAGTCACACATGATGATAATGATGGAATGTGAAAGTAGTCAAGTACTATTAACATTGCAATATTAACCCTCAAGTTCTGATGTCGAGTCATACCAGACTCAAAACATTGTTACTCTGTTTCTGTCTCCACTGATGCTGCCAGGCCTGCTGAGTTTCTCCAGCATATTCTGCATTTGTTGCGGATAGATTGTTGTTAAACAAGGGGTTAAAGGTTTATCAGGGCTAGGCTGGAATGTTGATTTTTGAGGTTATAATCACTACTGAAACTACCTTTAAAACCCAGATTTGTTAATAGAATTCAGCTCTATGGTGGGATTTGAACTCCCATCCCCAGAATATTACGTTTTGCAATGGAAGAGGTTCAAGGAAGGAAACTTAGTGTCAGCAACAAAAATTATTTCAAAGTATTGTCCCTTTGGACTTAACGTGGTCACCAAAGAAGTTGTCATGCATCATAAAAAGAGGTGGCTTTAGCTTTTCTGACATTAATCTGGAAGAAATTTCACTTTCCATGGAGCTTACTAGATTGTTGGAGCAACAACTTTTGACTTCATGAAGTAGAGAGGCAATAGTTGGGTATTGGTAGTTTACAATGGGAAGCTAAACCCATGGAAACCATAGAAATGAAGAGGAGGACAGGGCCAAGGATGCAGCATTGGTATATAACAAATGCAATTTCTCTTTTACCAGGAGCATACATCAGGCCTGTCTTGGTCCTGTCCACACAGTCACTAATTGACTGCCAAATGTGATTCCAGACTAATTAAGGTGTTGTCCCACATGAATTTAATCTACATCACCCAGGAGCATGTTGGTGACTGAGAAACAGTTCCAATTTCCATTTCATAGCTTCAATATGAGAACTCAGCCCTGAAACTCACTTGTACAAAACATCAGTTGTGACAAGTGCCCCAGTGTTGTGAGTGAGGTAGAAGCCAGATTTAAGTCTTCTGCCCCAAGTATGTAAGCTTGGGAAAATTGAAAGGTTAAATTTGGAACTTCTAAGAGTCAGCTTCCTGAATGGGGGCTGATTGAATTAGGTAGGGAGTGTCAGAATTCTTTTCTTCCTTTTATTCTTTTATGGCAACATTGGCAGGGCCAGAATTTGTTGCAATACATAATTGTTTTGTTCATCTATTTCAGGAGACACTAAAGACTCAGCCACATGAGTCTGGAGTTACATGTAGGCCTGACCTGGTATGGCCTTCCCTAAAAGGCATCAGTTAATCAGATCAATTTTTACAACAACCAGTGGTAGTTTCATTGTCACCACTACTGAAACTACCTTTTAAAACCCAGATTTGTGAATAGAATTCAGCTCTATGGTGGGATTTGAACTCACATCCCCAGAATGTTAGTCTTGGATTCAAGCTTGCTCATCTAATGACACTACCACCCTGAAGAAATCACTGAGGAGGGGAATGATGGATGATCAGAAGGTCAGTCAGGGATAAGTTTTGGGCTTTTCATGAATGAATGAAATGACTACACAGAGAATGTGAAGTGTTGAAGAAAGGAGCTTGTGGGCAGACAATGAGAAAGCCGATGTAAGAATGTCTGTCTCAATTTTGACACTAAGTTGAAAGGTAGAGATGAATGTGAGAAAATTGAAGCAACATAATTGTTAGCTCAGTTTCATTATAATCTTGTCCTAAATTAACATCCTCACCTCATTTTTGATGTAACTGATTATCAAACCAAAAGAAGAAAACAAAAGCAAATAAATTTTATTTAATAACACTGATCATGAGATCATTTTATGTCAGTTATTAATGAGCAACCCCTTAGCTGTGATTTTACCTTCTTGCATAAAATCATCTGATGGTCAAAGAGAAATGCCAGAAATTGCTTTGCCCTGGCACGTGGACGCATGAGAACAATTAGATCACCACGTTGGATCAGTTGAGTGCTGAGGACTATGAGATCTTCACCCTAAGAATTAGAAAGATTCCATGAGGAGAAGCCCCATTTTATTTCTGTTTGATGCACGATGCATATGAATTTTACTGAAGAAAATGAACAAAACCTGAATGTAGATTATAACCAAGTAGCAGGAGATCCTGTAGCAGGGGAATATATGCTCAATGCTTTCCTGCATCAGTCCTTAGGTCAGTGAGTCATTAAAACAGCTAAGATAAATTTGTGCATGAGTTATAGTGTGTTTTTCTTCCCTTTTCCAACATCTGCTTAACTCTGGTGCCAAATCAGTTGACAATCTTGGCATGCAGCAGCAGTGATGGCAGTGAGCAGGTTAGCAGCCAGTCACATTGATTTAGTCACACACAGCAAACCAGCAAGTCATATGTGCTTAATATTCCTCACTTTAAAATTAATTTTTCAGGTGTTGAATTAACTTATGATGATGGATTAAGGTAGAAGCTAAAAAAATGGATGAAGTTTACAAAAGAAAACCGGTTTTTTAACTATGGGGTACTTTTGACATTTTACAATCATAGAATTAATTATTTCGGGGCAGTGATGGTGTCTACCTCAATAATTCTAATGTTAGTACTGGGTTTAAATAAAAAACTAGTAATGCCTCATTCATCAGTGTTTTAAGGATTTTTACAGTGAGACTAGCTGTTTAAGACATGAAGTTCCCAACAAGTTAATTAATGACCATTGTCTTTGGGTAGTACAGAACTTCAGTATTGCTGAGAAAATGCTCAGACAAAAAGTGTTTCTTTTTCTGATGGGACCTGAACCATGCACCCTCTGGTGGAGAGAATCATTGAAAGTGAATGCTGCAGTATTTTGTGCATGTGTAGCCTCCCAAAGTTTTATTATCCTTTTTTGGTGGATGACAGCGAACATTGGTTTCACCATTAGTATTCCCACAAAATTCAGATGGTTGTTTTCATTAATTACAGATGAGTTAGATCCTCTATTGATCACTGGTCATCCAGTCAAACACACCTGATTTACTGGATGGAAATTCAGCTGAAGCTCCAGTTAACCAAACAAATGGAGGTTCCGCAAATGGGGAAGGAAAGAGACGTCCTTGAATTTACCTATTGAGTCATCTCCTGCTTTTAGTACAAAAATAATTTCTCTCCCTTGAAGTGTGAGTTTGAGAAATGTGGATCTTATTAAAGTTTTCTTTGCTACAAAAATTCTGCTGAACGCGTGAGGACATGAGAGAAATGTTGTGCTGAGTGTGTCAGCAGGAATGGACAAATACATTGGTACATCAACAAGCCAAATTGTCTGCCTAAAAACAATCCAGAAATCTGCAAGTATAATGATAGAAACAATCAGGGATGAAGTCTGGCCTCATTAGATTGAGGTTATTGGTAATAATGGAAATAATGGATTTATTCAGCAATAGATCAGAGACTTGGAAAATATTTGGGCTAAAGTTGACTTGCATCTCAATACATTCTAACCATCCTTCGGAACCGTATGGATATATTTTGTTGTTTTGCTATATGGTAGCCCATGTAACGTTATATCATAGAGAGTTGAGTTCTTATTGAGACAGATGTTTTGAAACCTATTCACAACACTAACTACTTACATGGTTATGTATGTAACTCTGTGACATTATTTCTGAGGTTCTGTATTTACTGATATTACTATACATATATTGCTGATGGACTGAACACACTACTTTAGAGATTGATGCAACATCAATGTTGTAATGTCATGTCTCTGCCTGAAAGGTGCAGACCTTTCTGGTCTTGAATCACTGCCATTATATAACATATGATTCTATTCAAGGGGCATAACAACAAATGAGGAAAAAGGAGCAAGAGATGAAATGCTATGTTTACTATTCATTGAAAAAAAAAACAAACTAAATTTCATGTTTTAACATGATTTATGTACATTTTGCATTATTATCCAGCAAAATCTCTGAAAGGCAATACTGAAAAAGATAGAGATTTTATCTTAAATCGCAAGGAATGGGGAAGGAGGGTAGAAAGAGGAGGCAATGGATTTATTCAGCAATAAATCAGAGACTTGGAAATTCCAGTTTTTACCTGCCAACCTGAAATGATGTTCTGTAATCTTGTGATTTTGTCTTCGTTATCATCAGCCGTCTGATTATTAATCCTATTAAGAACATTCTTCATGGCAACGATGGCAGCTTCCACATTCTTATAATCCCTTGATGAATAAACAATAAGACTGTTACTAATGGTGTACATGTTACACTTGGAAACACATTGAAACACCTGGCGGAAAACATGACCACAGTGCAAGGGGGTTTAATTTTCCAAGTGGACCTTTCGTGTGATTTAGTGCTTTCTCTGTATCCCACAGTAGCAAATGAAATAGCAATTCCAATTTGTCTTCACTCAAATGAACAATATGAGGAAAATATTTTGACTTCACCTCCTGTGCGCTTATCCTTTGCAGAATCAACCTGATTTTTATTTTACCTTCAGCGCAGTGTTTGACACCACTGAAACCGGTGAAGGAAAGATTGGACTGCTTCCACAAATGGTTGTTTAATCTGCCCTATAATAATACTGCCCATGGGGATGAAGTTGAAAGTTTACCAACCTGTTTGGTACTTTCCTCTACCACATAATAAAAAGATGTACATTTCCATATTTAATATCTGTTCTCCTCCAGTTGGCTTAATTGGCAGCAATAAAGGGGATTGCAACTTTGTGTAAAAGCAATCTCGACCTAATGCTTCTTTCCTGACATTTAAAGTTGCCACATAAAATCCCCTTAAGTTTAGAAAAAAAGTGATATCAAAATTAGTCAGTCTGATGATGGGTAACAATTTTTAATACCTCCACCTCATCGCTAAGGAGAGGTGGTTTTCCACTTATTTAACAAAGCAGTCATTTAGTCTACTGAAGTGCTGATGCCTGTTTATTCAACAGCACAGCTACTGGTTCTTAAGCTAATGTTAAGACATCCAGGAAAGCCCTCTGTGTGTAGGACAATCATGAATCGTGTGTGCTTTAATTTATTAACTTCCCTTTTTTGGTTTTGACATTGACTCCTGAACTCAGCTCCATAAGTGACATTTTGTCATTCAGTGCTTCAGCAATGTTACTAATATTAATTTGTGACCTTTAATGCAGAAACAATGAGGGTCAGCAGACTGTCAAACTGTGGGGACACAATAACAGCCTAAATGATAGCAATGCATGTGCATTTTGTTTTTCATTCAGAGGATATGAGCCTCACTAATTGAGCCAGCATTTATTGCCCATCCCTAGTTGCCCATGAGAAGGTAGTAGTGAGTTGCCTTCTTGAACCACTGCAGTCCAGTTGATATAGATACACTTCTCTATTTGAAAAGTAATTGAATACTGTTTAGAAGTAGAAATTCAGGGAACAGAATTTTCCTCTGTTTAGTTGATAACATTGAGGTTAATTGAAGAGCTCTTGCTCCCAGTCTGGCTCAGAGCAGTTAAGCAAGCTAATGTCAAATCTGTTCCTTTTACTGGTCTACATTGTCCAACTAGGAACTGACTAAACCAACTGAGACACTGTTGTCGGTTCCTAATAAATCCCAAAGATAGCAATTATAATTAGTGATGAGATGAATTTATTTTAACTGTCTCCCTCAGTGCACCATTTTTCTAGCCAAGAGGTTAACCAGCCCTTTTTCTCAGGACAGTGTAAATGACACTCCTGATCTAGGTTACATTGAATAAGACTGACTGGAAGTAACTCCATGTCCTTGGCCTCCCAGGGAGGAACCCAGTTCACTGCATCACAAAGCATGACTGAGACTGAAAACTTGCTACATGAAAGAACATTACAAAATGATTGTGGAATCTGTTGCAATGATGAAGTGAATAGTTAGTGAAATTATAGGTGATAATAGATCACCACATGTTCCACCTTTAAGATAATGTTGCACTCCAATTCTGTATGTGCAGTGACTGTTGCATGGATGCTGTGCCTTCTTTGAACACATTCCCACTGAAGTCGATACACATCATTTTAAGGCTTACCTGTGCTCAGGTGGAGTGGCTTTAAGCAGTTCTGATAGCAGTAGTGGATATTTACAGATCTTCTGCACTGGCATTATGAGAAATCCATCAAAAGGGAGGCTCATCATTTTCTGCCGCCTTCGACAAACCTCAAAAAAGTAAGCGTATTTTTCGACGACGATGAGTTTAGCCCATTCAGCAAGAGCATTGACATGGTTGTTGCAGTATTCAGCATACATCAAGAAGCCTGCATTCTGCAAAGAGAAAGAGAAATGATGAAGAGAATCAATGGAGATCAGCAAGCCATTCAGATGGTATCAATCACAAAGTTGTCAGCATATGGTCTTCAGGGAACTACAATAATACAATTCACTGGCACACTGTTCCCACAGAGGTTCAGCTGAAGGCCATTTCAACAGTACACCTCCTCCTTCCACCTCACTCATGCCAATATTCCAGGAATCAAGACCCATTTCTCCACAGTAATGATTTATACATTTAATTTTCCACTCTTATTTGCCTTAAGTCTGTTTATTTGAGGTTCAGTCTGTAATCTATAGATTATTGCCTCTTCTTACTTTTTAAAAAAAATTAACCCCGAGCTGCTCAGATTCTCACCACACGAAATTTCAGCTACAGCTTTGCTCGTAGTAATGTTAAGGCCGAAACGAAAATAGACACCCAAATGAGTCAAAACGACAAGGTATGTACCTCCAGCGAGATTAACAAGTCAAGTTTAACATTAAGGAAGGCCATAGTTATAGAAGTTATTGTTTGAGATGCTGCAAAACTAAACAAGGCATGCCAAGGAGATCCGCAAGTACTAAGCGACACTGCATTCATTTTTATAGCCATGATATGGAGGTGCCAGTGTAGGACTGGGGTGGACAAAGTCAGAAGTCTCATGACACCATATTATAGTCCAACAGGTTTATAGTGACTTTGCCTGACGAAGGAGTAGCGCTCTGAAAGCTTGTGATTTCAAATAAACCTGTTGGACTATAAGGTGCAGGGCTGGATGAACACAGCAGGCCAAGAAGCATCATAGGAGCAGAAAGGCTGACGTTTCGGGCCTAGACCCTTCATCAGAAAAGGGGGGAGGGGAAGGGGGTTCTGAAATAAATAGGGAGAGGCGGATAGAAGATGGATAGAGGAGAGGATAGGTGGAGAGGAAACAAACACAGGTCGAAGAGGCGGGGATGGAGCCAGTAAAGGTGAGTGTAGGTGGGGAGTTAGGGAGGGGATAGGTCAGTCCAGGGAGGACGGACAATGATACCATTGGGCTATGTGGATTTCACAAACTTCAAAATCTCCCCTCCACCTACCGCATCCCAAAACCAGTCCAGCTCGTCCCCGCCTCCCTAACCTGTTCTTCCTCCCACCTCAAGCCGCACCCCCATCTCCTACCTACTAACCTCATCCCGCCCCCTTGACCTGTCCGTCCTCCCTGGACTGACCTATCCCCTCCCTAACTCCCCACCTACACTCACCTTTACTGGCTCCATCCCCGCCTCTTCGACCTGTGTTTGTTTCCTCTCCACCTATCCTCTCCTCTATCCATCTTCTATCTGCCTCTCCCTATTTATTTCAGAACGCCCTTCTCCTCCTCCTTTTCTGATAAAGGGTCTAGGCCCGAAACGTCAGCCTTTCTGCTCCTATGATGCTGCTTGGCCTGCTGTGTTCATCCAGCCCTGCACCTTGTTGTCTCGGATTCTCCAGCATCTGCAATTCCTACTATCTCTGTTGGACTACAACCTGGTGTCATGTGACTTCCCACTTCTTTCATTATATTACCATACATAGCTAGCTGTAATCAAGAACAGATTCTGGGCCACCACATAGATCATTGCCTTGCTGCGCTGTGCACCTCGATAGTTTGGGGTGAGTGGCCTGTTTCTGTGTTATCAAATCGATGTAACTTCAAGGATGCCTGAGATCATTCATTATCACAAACTGAATGCCAATGACTGCCAACAAAACCACTATCATCTGTTTATCAGACACATGAAAGAAAATAACGAAACAGTTGTATTAATACTGTACTTTTGATAACCTCTGGATGTCTTAAAATATCTCACAGCCAATGAAGTACTTTTTGAAGTGTGGCTTCTTTTATAAACTAAGGAACAAGGCAGTGAATTGCTGCATAACAAACTCCCATGAAAAGGATGGATGAAATAGTCATCAAAGTGAGTAATTGTATCTCCTTTCCTACAGCTTGACTGAAGTTTCGTTGTATGACTCACAAAGGACCATTGATGGATCTGATGTGTTCTACTCCTCTGAAATCAAACCCACTTTATCTACTCTGTAATTTATCCGATCTATTCTCATCAAAGATCTAATCACATCTCTGGATATGTCTGCATGCGTGATGCTAATTATCAGTGTTATAGAGAATGCACGACTTAATGTGCACTATAGGCACCCTTGAAGTTTGGAGGCCTTTTTTTTAAGAAATGAAAAGGACTAGGTTTGGAATTTACTTATTCTAAGCCAATCTTTTTCACAGAAGTTGGATTTTGTAGACATTATTTTCCAATACTACTGTCCCAAATGAGAAGCCACTTTCAAGGCAGTTAGTTTGCAGAGTTACCCAACTTTCCTGCCTCTCTCTCTCTCTCTGTCAATCTATAAGTTTTTAATTTCTATGCCTATTAGCAAGTGAAGAGTTTGAGCCAAATATTCCACTAAAAAGACTATTAAAAAAAAGTATTGTGAAGGGAGCAATTCTTGTTATTTTCAGAAATTGCTCAAAATATAATAGAAGTTAAACATTGTATTTTGTTCCAAAAAAATCTGCTTTGGCTGGAAAGTCATGACCTGAAGCAATAATTCTGCCTTGCCGTTGGCAAGGACTGCCAGACTCATTGAATATGTCCACCTTATTTTGTTTTTCATGATTGTATTTTCTTGTTTGAAATATACTTCCATCAATTTTAAGGAATGCCATTCTTTGTCACTGAATAATAATATTTTTAGAATGAACCTTGGGATTGCACAGTGTCTTTTCTGTCATTTGGAGTGAATATAAGTCGGTAATAGCTGTATAGAATTTATGATGATAAGGGGAATGATTAATCTTGTGCCACCCTATCATTGCATGACAATCATAAGGTAGAATTTAATGTCTTAATTACCTCTCTTGTACCTGAAGCAACTGAATTTAAACCTTATGTCGTAACCAAATCTTGACTTTGCACCATGGATTTGATTAATGTTGTAGAGCATTTTCACAGAAAAACAAAATGTGCTGTCAATTCATCCCTTGAAAAATGGATTTGGAAAAATAAAGTGCTGAAGCTGTACTGGATAGATAGTAAATTGGGTGTTATAGACCTTCAGATTTATCGGATCTTTTTAGTTAATGCAGTCACAACGTGTGTATTAATATGGAGATTGTGCCCCTCAAAAAACCCTTGCTTATGCCAATTGAAAGAGCAGGAATGTGATTTCCCAGGCCGAGTCTTGCCGAACTTGCCAAGTAAGTCCCTGTGAAAATCTAACTGGGGAATTCTGTGGGGTAAAAAAAACCCTTCAATCTTTTAGAAATTGTGCAACAACAGTGGATAATTAAAGCTGGTGCTGAAAAAACATAGAAAACCATCAAATCGTCTTAATAAGGAAAATAATAAGAATACATAGGTATTTAAGTGAGAAAAATCAGTTTTATTTTGTATTGAGTTAATACAAGAGAAGAAACTTTATTAAGATATTTTGTGAACAGTAAAGGTTGTAATTGTTTGTTTATTGAATACATTATTTGAACTAATTATGGTATGTGATGCCCCAGTGTAAAATAAACTTGTGTACTGGTTTACAACGTGAGCACAAGTCTTGATAAAAGATACATTAATCCATTATAAAAATCAGGATCACAGATTTCATTCCAGCAAACTAAAGTACAGTGAGAGAGACTCCCTGTGAAACCCAGCATCATTTTAAATTCTACTTCAAACAGGAACACATTTGTTCTTGTTAAGTGTTCTAAGGAGAGAGCTTTGTCATTGTGTGAATTTTGTATGAAACCCTATATCTGAGAGTCATAGCTCACAAATATCATTCTGTCTAGGAAGAGCAAGACGAAATTAGTCTGTTTATGTATATTGCCCCGAAGAGACAGAACTTGCAGTTGCAGAAGGGCATTGTTAGATACATTGTACATTTTGGTATTGATCTAATATTCTCAATTTGAAGTCTACTCCTGCTTTTACAAATTTGAAAGTTGAAGAAATGCCTCAGCATATTGAATAAAACTTCCACTCATTTCAAAACTATTACTACCGTGGTACTTTTTTGGAACGGGTAACTTGAGTAATTCAGGTTACTGTTACAGTGAAAATAGCTTGTAAAGGTATGTTGTTTACTGAAGTGTTATGCTGTCAGCTGATAGAGTTATAGAGCTGCACAGCATGGAAACAAACCGGTCAATCCAACTCATCCATGCCAACCAGATATTCTAAATTAATCTAGTCCCATTTTCCAGCATTTGACCCATATCTTCCTTAAACCTTTCCTATTCATATACCCATCCAGATGCCTTTTAAATGTTGTAATTGTACCAGCCTCCACCACTTCCTCTGGTAGCTCATTCCATACACGCACCACCCTCTGCATGAAAAAGTTGCCCCTTAGGTTCTTTTTCAATCTTTCCCCTCTCACCTTAAACCTATGCTCTCTAGAACAAAGAACAAAGAAAATTACAGCACAGGAACAGGCCCTTCAGCCCTCCAAGCCTGCGCCGATCCAGATCCTCTATCTAAACCTGCTGCCTATTTTCCAAGGATCTGTATCCCTCTGCTCCCTGCCCATTCATGTATCTTAAATGATGCTATCATGCCCGCCTCTACCACCTCCGCTGGTAATGCATTCCAGGCACTCACCACCCTCTGCGTAAAGAACTTTCCACGCATATCTCCCTTAAACTTCTTTCCCCTCTCACCTTGAAATCGTGACCCCCCTAGTAATTAAGTCCCCCACTCTGGGGAAAAAGCTTCTTGCTATCCACCTTGTCTATACCTCTCATGGTTTTGTAGACCTCAATCAGGTCCCCCCTCAACCTCCGTCTCTCTAATGTAAATAATCCTAATCTACTCAACCTCTCTTCATAGCTAGCGCCCTCCATACCAGGCAACATCCTGGTGAACCTCCTCTGCACCCTCTGTAAAGCATCCACATCCTTTTGGTAATGTGGCGACCAGAACTGAATGCAGTATTCCAAATGTGGTCGAACCAAAGTCCCATACAACTGTAA